AATTATGGTTGACAACAATGCATTTTCTAAGTTTCACTTAGCTGAAATATTTAATGATGCATATAACCAACTCCTTGTATTTATTAGAAAAACCTGCCTCCAAACTGACCATCTCAATTTGTTTTCCTTGATACTTCAGCTTTGATTAGAATGGCTGTCCACTGGTTAAAAGTTCATTTGTAATATTAAAGTTGAGAGACTTCCCTGGCTATTCATCTACACCAATGCATGCAGCATGAGCAACAAACAGAAGCTGGAAGTCATGGTGCAGCAGGAAAACTATGACATAATTGCTGTCACAGAAATATGATGAGAAGACCCACACAACTGGAGTGCTGCAATGGATGGCAAAAAACTCTTCAGAAGGGGTAGGCAAGGATGGGAATGTTTTGATTGCCCAAAATTTAATGATGGTGATGACAGGGTTGTCTTTACAAGTGAGGATTGGAAGAAAGGCCAACAAGGAATATCAAGGAATATCCAACAGGGAATCTCTTAGAAACCACACAGCCAAGATGAAGAGGTGGGTGAAATACTCTGCTGCTGCGTCTCCCCCAAGCAGCTAAGAGAAGTCTCACATGGCTTTTGTTCTCATGAGAGACTTTGAGTTACCAGATGTCTGCTAGAAATGCAGCACAAGAAAGAAGATGGTCTAGGAGGTTACTGGAGTGTGTGGAAGATACTTGCCTGACACAACTTCTGAAGGACCCAAAAAGGGTCCTGTTGGGCCTGTTGTTTGTGAACAGAGAAGGACTTTAGGGTGTTGTGATGGTCAGAGGACTTCTTGGGCACACCCATCATGAAATAATAGAGTTCACAGTTCTTGGAGAAGTAAGGAGTGGAATCAGTAGAGTATGGATTTCTGGAGGACAGACTTCGTCCTTCTTAGGAGCCTGGCTGACAAAGTCCCTTGGGATGCAGTCCTGAAGAAGAAAGAAATCCAGGCAGGCTGGATGTACTATAAGAGGGAAATCTTAAAAGTACAGGGGCAGACTGCTGCCACCTGACGTAAGTTTTGGAGGTGAGGAAGAAGACCACCCTGGATTAACAGAGAGCTTTGAATGGAAGTCAAGAAAGAAAGAGAGTTTATCACCTTTAGAAGAAGGGGCAGGCTTTCAGGAAGACTACAAGGATGTCATGAGGTTATAAAGGAGGAAAACTTGAAGGGCTGAAGCTCAGCTAGAACTTAATCTGGCTTCTGCCATAGAAGATAATATAAAATGTTTCTATAAACACATCAGCAACAAAAAGGAGGTTGCAGAGAATTTCCATCCTTTAATGGATGCAAGGAGGAATATAGGAACAAAGGATGATGAAAAGTCAGAAGTAGTGCCTCAGTCTTTAATAATAATAATACTAGTAACTTTTAAGACACTGGGGGATAACCAGCCCTCTGAGCTGAAAGAAAGGGATGGGGAGCAGAATGAAACCCCCATAACACATGGGGAAATTTTAAGTGTCCTGCTGCACCACTTGGTGAACAAAAGTGTTACACAGCTTGGATGGGATTCACCTGAGGGTACAGAGGAGCTAGTAGCAGACCTACTAGAAAATGGCTTAAACTTCACTAAGCCATCATTTTTCAACACTCTTAGCTCAGCAGGGGAGTCACAGATGACTGCAGATTAACAAAAGGGACACCTATCTACAAGAAGGACTGACCTCAGTGCTGGGGAAGGTCTTGGAGAAGATCAACATGAGTGAGATCACATGGCACATGCAAGACAATGGATCAGACCCAGCCATCAGGGATTTAGGAAAGGCAGGTCTACCTTAACCAAGCTGATTGCCTTCTATGACAGGGTGACCAGTTTAGTGGGTGAGGAAAAGGCTATGGATGGTATCTACTGTTACTTTAGCAAGGCCTTTGACACAATTTCCCACAGGATTCTCTTGGGGCAACTGGCTGCTCATGGTGTGGAAGGTGTTTGCAGAGTAAAAATTACCTGGATGGCTGGCCCAGAAAGTGGTGGTGAACGGAGTTAGATTCCATTGGCGGACATTCCCTGGGGCTCAGTGTTGGGGCCAGCCCTGTTTAATCTTTAACAATGCTCTTAATGAGGAAATTGAGTGCACTGTCAGTCACTTCAAAAATCACACAAAGTTGGGCAGGATAGTTGATATGATAGAGGGTCGGAAGGTGCTACAGAGGGATCTGGACAGAGTGGATCCAATGGACAAGGACAGCTGTATGAGGTTCAACAAGGCAAAGTGCTGGGTCCTGCATTTCAGTCACAACAAATCCATGCAGCGCTACAGGCTGGGGCAGAGTGTCAGGCAAGGTGCCCAGCAGAAAAGGACAGGAGGGTGCTGGTCAACAGCCAGCTGATCTTGAGCCAGACATGTACCCAGGTGACCAAGAAGGCCAATGGCATCCTGGCTTTTATCAAAAGTATTGTGACCAGCAGGACTGTGGCAGTGATTGTCCTCCTGCCCCTGTCACTTGTTAGGCGCCACATTGAGGACTGTGTCCAGTTCTGGGAGCCTCACCACAAGTACGTTGAGGAGGTGAAGTTCATCCAGAATAAGGCAACAAAGTTGGTCAAGTCAAGAGAACAGTTCTAATGAGGAGCAGGTGAGGGAACTGGGGTTGTTTAGCCTGGGGAAAAGGAGGCTCAGGGAAACCTTGTTCTCTACAACCACCTGTAAAAAGGTTGTAGTGACAGGGAGGCTGGTCTCTTCTCCTGGGTAACAACTAGTAGGACAAGATGAAATGGCTTCTAGTTGTGCCAGAGGAGGTTTAGTTTGGGTACTGGGAAAAATTTCTTAATGGAAAATGCTCTCAAGCATTTGAAAAGGGAAGTGGTGGGATCATCATTCCTGGAGGTATCAAAAATTGTGTTGATGTGTGCTTAAGGACATAATCTTGTGGTGGACATGGCAGAAATAGGTTAAGGGTTAGACTCAATCTAACCCTTTTCCAAACAAAATTATTCTCATTCTATGATTCTTCTCTGTGAAAGTGCAAACATATGTGTATGCATTTATAAGAAAGAGAGAACTTGAGCATAATATAAATCAAGGCCCTAAAATGTCAAAGAAAATTCACTAATTAAGGCTTTTCCTTTTAATTTTAAAAATATTTTTTATATTTTTTTTAGTTTGTAATAAATTGAGAATTACGGTATTTCAGAGGTTTGGAAATCAGTACTTTCAAAAAAGTTAGAGTCCCATAAACGGCTTCAAATTGAGATCCCAAACTTTTGGAAACCTTAGAGGAAAGGTATGTTATAGGAAATGTTTTTCTTTAAGAGAAGTAGTTTTGGTTTTTTTTTTTTCCTGAAGAATCAATCAGTCGTCTATCACTTCCTAAATCTGAGTTTTGGAATAGAAAAAAGATTGAAACAGGTCTTTCAATAATGTAAGTGTAGTTTACAGTCAAAACACAACTAAAAAGACATTTTTCATGAGTAAGCCTGCAACCAACAACCAGTGAAGTCTTCAGTCATGTACTACATAGAAAGAAAAGAGCTAGAAAGGGCTGGTGACATTGTGCTTTGAACAAGAAAGGGGAATTTTTCTAAGATCTGGCGTGAACACACAATATCAGAATTGGCACAAAATTATCACTTCAATGTTTCTGGACAAGTTTAAAGACAGAGGTTTCTACGAGCTCCTTATGTCTCTAAGTATATGAGGTCTTGAAAGAGCTTTATTGTTATTTGGTGTCAGTGCATAAAAATCTACCTTCTGTGCCATTTTGGCATTATATGCAAAAAGCATTGTGCCTGCCCAGTACACACCAGGAATGACAGGCTGACCTGGGATTTGTTATGAATTTTTCCCTAATCCCAAGTTTCTGTTCATTGTCTTTTATTTTATTGCTACCTTGCATCCTTACTCAATTAATAACTATCAGTTAAAAAGTAGAACCCATTCATGTTAATATCAGCAAAACAAAAAATACTGAAGCACTGTGCCAACATATATATCTAAAAAACTGAGGAAGAAAATAATTACAAATGTGTGAACTAGCCTGTATTGATACACAGATATAGATGACAAAAGCTTGTATTAATGTAGATGCATAGATATAGATGACAGAGATAAAGATAGCAATCATTCAGAGCTTGTTCTTTTTTAAAAAATCACAGGGCAGTTTGATTTGATAGTTTGCAGAGTCTTAATTTTTGGCTTATTAGTTCTCAGACTTCTACTGGTTCAGAGAAGGATTTACAGGCACCTAAGATGTAATGGAACGGATGGAAATTCGTCATCCCAAACCTCCTCTGGCAGTTGGTTCACTTTTGTCACTGGCCAGATTAGTATAGCTATATGTTTTGATAGAATTACATTTATAACTACAAAAAATAAGCACAGTACTTAACTGTGGTGTGTGTGGGGGGGGTTGTTTGATTTGTTGTTGTTGTTTGGATTGGGTTTCTTTTAGTAGTTTTTTTAATATTGGCAAGTGGAGGTATTTCTAAAACATTAAATAAATAAATAAATATGCTCTCAGTTCTTTCTCTCAAATATTGAACATACAACAGCTTGAGAAACACTAAATGTCAGTCATGGTTCACTTATGTTGCTCACTCCTTTTCCCCAATATCTAAGATTTTTGGTATGTTATGAATATTTATAACTCATAGAGTCTACTCACCTGTCTACATTTAGGTACTGTCAGTATTCACATGGTAACATGGGTCATGGCACAACACTTGTGCAGACCAAGCATAGGTTTTGGAGGATTGCAAGAATGCCATTTGAGTGAAGATTATATACGGGTTATATAAAGTGAGTCCTTTCTCACAAGCAAGTTTAACAGGTCTGCAAACTGGGATTCAAATTCTTTTCACTGCTTTCACCAGTGCTGTAACTTAGACCCCAGTTTAGACTTGCACTTAAACAGAAGTGGCTAAATACAGTTTTGTGTGTTCATGCTGACAGGGTAGTTCCCCAAAGTCTACTCAGTTGTTGCCTAACCCTGAAAGTTCAACATTCACTGTGCTAGAGAAAGAAGGATTGTGACCTCAGCATTGTAGTTTGGTTCTACAGCTCACTGCAGGAAACAGTGGGATCAACAGAGAAACAGCTGCAGTGGGTGGGAGAGATGCTGCTAAGTCTTACCTCACAGCACCTTACAGTCCCATGAGTAAGGCAGTGTTGAAAAATATTCCAATATCAGTACACCACTCCCTGGTTTAATGTACCCCATCTGTTTTTTTCTTCTGTTCAGTCAGACTGTTTCCTGCTCAGTATGAAAGAGTTGGTGGAGGTTGCTGCTTAAGACCCAGGTTTTCCCTTTCAGTGTAGAGGGATGTGACTAGTCTGGGTTTACATCTTTCACGAGGAGACAGGAGATCTAAGAGGCTAAAGGCATACCTAGATGCAGTTTATGGATCTAGCCCTTAGCAATTTTTCACTCTGAAGGTTGTATAACCACTCTGTCAGAACCAGGAAGCAATAAGAAGGTCTGAAATCTACTTTTAAGGTTTCCAGTTAATAAAACACAAATGACAATAGTTTGAAGTTCTCCCTCCCCCAACCTTAAAAACATAGAAGTAAATTATAGCAATTGGGCACTTAAGTGTTTAAAAAGATTCCTGGACTGAAGCATGAAATAAAACAAAGTATTTAAGCAAAAGTACTTTTATTAGTAGTAAAGGGAAACGTGATATCTAAGAACTGTCAGATGAGAAAGTTTGATACAAAATGTTTTTTGTAAGTTAAATCAGTAAGGAACTGTCTGGAAAGGACTGCAAAATGATTTCACAATTTTCAATGCCCTTGGCCATGAAGGAGTGATGAAATCTGATAAAACAGAAAGAACTGAACAAGGGGTAAATAAGTCTAACTATACACACACAGGCAGGGACTACAAAGTAACTATTGCTTGAGAAGGAAAAATAAGGAATAACATCAGACATCTCTCTGAAAACATCAAGTCAAGCACCCAGTATCAAGTAAAAATGTGAAACAGGATATTTGGATGATTAAGAAAGAAACGGTAAACAAAATAGAAAACATATATATATATATATATATATATCACAGTATAAATACACTGTATCGCTATATCACTGTATAAATACATCATACACTCTTATTTTGAATAATTCATGCAACCCTGGTCATTCTACTTCAGGAGAAAGAAGGGCAAGACAGAGAGAGAAGATTGACAGAAGAAAGAAGTAAATTCACAGAATATAGGACAAATTCAGACTACTCATCATAGTGCACCACCCTGATTTGGGAAGCATTTGAACTGTACATATTGGATATAGAGCCCTGAAGATGTCTGGAAGTCAACAGCTGAAGGTTTCCCTAATCTGTAGGGATCAGTGGAGGCCTTATAACAAGACTGTACCCCTACCAAGGCACACAGTCAGGTACACACAACTATGTGGGCTCGTGGCTTGAGTCAGTGCAGCCATTCCTACTTTATGCACAACCAAGTGTCTTCTTGAAAGAGCTGACAGACAATATCAGGGAAGGATTCTGAGGAAAAGTGTAGGCAAGGTTAGAAATAAATATATAGGCAAATGACCATGCTGTCCTTCCGTCTCAGGATACATTATAATAGTTTGGATTTTTTCAGTCGTTTTCCCGTAACACCTTGTGGCTACTGAGGTAGCTGGTATTAAATCCCTTCCCAAATCATGCATCCGGTTCAGTTGCTGAACCCAGAAGGTAGGTCAAACTGAATTTCCCAGAGGTTATGCCAAATTTCCCAGTGGAATTTTTGTTTTTTGTTGGTTTTTTTGGTTGGTTTTTTTTTTTTTTTTTTTGGTAGCGGAGGGTGGTAAGGTGCCACACAGATGAATCCTATCTCAGCACCAAAAGGTAGGCAGGCATGGATAACCTCCATATCTGCTATCATGCCAGAAGCAGTGGCAAAATTATGCAAAATCTGGAGCTTGGCTAAATAAAATTAGTAGAAATACTACCTGTGTTTTGATATTGCTTTACGTTGTGCCTCTTATTGCAAAAAGTTATATGCAACTGAGTAATGGAGTTCTTTCAAATATGTAAAAATAATATGCAAAAAATCTGTATTATGGGGTGATACTATGAAACTACTTTGCAATCCCATTTTTTAAATGATAGGTGGATTGTAATAAAACTTTGAGCTACATTTAATTGAAGAATAATTTAGGCAGAGAAGATTTTGGTAAATTGATACCATGGCTATAGGATTTAAATCCAGTATTATTTTGATAAAAATGGAGAGAAATTACTGAGGTGGGAATCATTCTTCAAGCACTGCTGAGCATTGAGTTTACTCTCCGTATGTCATATGTTCTTAAGTATAGGAAGATTTTACATTGACAGAGAAGGTCTTGTAAACCTCATTGCTAAAATGGAACCCTGAGATGACAAAAGCTTAATTAACTTAAGCAAAGTCCAAATTGAAGAAAATTAAAAGAAAGTGCTTGGCCATTGCTGGCATTTGGGAACCTAGTAAACCACCATTTACCAAAATCTTCAAGCAAGTGATGGACAAATCCAACCAGTTAAGGATTTTTGGTAATATTTCAGCGATGACTTTCAGTTGCCTCCTCTTCACTCAGACAAATTATTTGAATCTTATCCAGAGTCACCATTCTTAAACAAGGCCGTTGTCTCCATGAGACAATACTTAAATCATTCCACTGCTAGAAGAAACTAAAAATGGGCATCATATTGATAAGGTGTCACAACAACAAACTTGATATCACTCTGGTGTACATTCAAGATGAATGTAAACATTTCAAGACTCATGAAAACTGTTTTACCCTGAAGAGAAGAAATATTTACGCAGTTCTGTCCTCTAAAACTTACCAAAAAAATATAACGCACAAGTACTTATAATAGCCTAAACATCAATACTTTGCAGTTAGAAGTACCAAGTGAAAAGTGTCTATATATGCCAAGGTAATAGAATACTTCATTAACAGCAGTAGTCTCTCAACTGTCATACCAGTACATCTGCTAAGCTATAAGTATGTTCAGAAACAGTTTCACTGGAGATGGAAAGATCTGAGCCTTTCCAGCATGCTTTCTGATAAACCTTTCCAGGCAAAATGGAAGAGCTTTGAGGGGGATTTAAGTGGACACATAGTCTGCAGCAAAACAGTGACTTCCTGTAAGTAGATCCAGTTAAAGATTCTTAAAGTTGGCAAAATGCCTTTTCTCAGGGAGACATAGAAACTGGTTTTGCTATCTGCAGACTATCATTAGACACGTCTGATCACAGAAGCAGAGGAGAAGGAAGTGAGGAAGAGATTAGACTGGCCACTTTTCAGCTTTCTTACTCCTGAAGAATTCTTACCTTGGAAATCAGGGTATTTTAAAATGTCTGACAGAATGAACACAGCAATTTTCCTGTTTCCTTCTAAAAATACCAATTTTCTAAAAAAAAAAAACCCAACAGAAAAACCAGTCCTACATAATTAAAATAATTCCCAATTTTATCAGAAATTTCATTAAAAGCTTTATTTTTTTCACAATGAGAAAAATCCCCCTTATATTTTTTTTCCATAATACTAAAATGATTATTTTCAGCATTAAAAAAAAAACCAAAACTGTTAAAATATTCTTCTTTCCTCTTTCCATTTCACTGTCAGTGGTGTAATTTATTTCTGTTCTAGAATGAAAGGACATTTTAAAATGTCCCAGATTGGCTGGAGTATTATAATTTTGTTGACTATTTCTCAACAAGGCCTATTTGTAACCAGAGGCAAAGACTCATATAGATTCATCTGCAGGAATATGACTAACAGAATGCTCTCTTCCTCTCGCTACCATGAGCATAATCAGGAGGAGCAAATCTGTATCATCCCAGCTTAAACTTCTTCCCCAGCACGATCTTTGGAAAAGTTTATTTAGCTGCTTCTCCTTCTCCTTTGCTCTTCTATATACATATTTTATGTATAAGAGGGGAGCGAGAAAGAAGATGGGGAAGCAGGGTTATGTTAGTGTGAGGAGCTTCCAGGGCAGGCTTCCAGGGCAGCTTTGCTGGCTCTTCTCTCCCTAGCAGCATCGCCATGTCCTGCTTCGCCATCCTCCTGAAATCATCATGCTCTTCAGATGTGGTCTTTCATTCTTGTCATTAGTCATAATCCTCAGTTTGTCAGATGTGTGTTCTGGCCTCTCCCATACACCTCTGTTTACTCTTCCTCCTGTTGCCAGTCTGTTCCTCCCTTCTTCTCCATTCCTTTCCATGCTTCTTTTCTATATTTCCATTCTCTAATCCCAACTACAGTCCTTATGGGCTTTAAAAAAATGCCTCATAGCGTTCACTGTGCCTCCAAACCAATCTCATGATCTTATGGTTATAACTCTTGTTTTGCTTCCCCTTTCTGCTTCCTTTGTCTCCTGCCATTATGCCATTTCTATTCAGGCTGTCATCTCTTCTGGAAAGGGATTTTTCTTGTTCTCTGTTTTGCAAAGCACCTGGCATGTTTTTGATTCTGTCAAACAAATAATAACAACAGATATGAAATTTGCAGTGCAGTAGAATCCTGATATCAGGAAGTAATAGAGGCAAATTACACTATCATTTTCATTGCCATGTATACACCACTATTTGACAAAAATTCTCATTGACTGGGTAGGTAAACATCAATAAACTCAGAAATTCTTAAGCAAACACTTCTAACATGAAGGAAATGTAGTTGTGTTTCACGTTGGATCTCAATGAGCCACAGGGTTATACTTGACAATATCAGTTTTGGAAAAAAAAGGAAATAAATGAATGAGGTGCAGTTTTTCAGATGGGGATTAGGGTATAAAATCAAGTAGCGGGAGAAGATGTAAATAACTGTTTAAAACAGAGAAGCAGGACAAGGGTGGAATGGGTGTGTTCAATTTAACTCTGCTTAATTAAAAAAGCATACAGAAGGTAGATAGATTCTAGTATGTAAGCTAATGAAAGTAGACTCCCTTAGCCCAGTATTATCAGAAGCTCTTAGTATTGCTGAAGAATCTTATAAAACAACTCAACTGACTTCTCTCAGTCATTATATGATATTAGGCACCTGAAGAAAATGTTTATGTTACTTGTGCTGCTAAAAAAGCCCCAACAAAACAAATCTGGAGCTTAAAAAAAGAAAAGGAAAGAATAAGATGTGGATTTTACTGTACCTTTAGTGACAGACTAGTCATATGAAATCTCTAAACAACATAGCTTTAGCACTAATTGATGTAGGCCAGGACTGAATGGAAATTATTTTATATATGGCTAGAAATCTCTTAACTAAATTATTTGAAAATTCCTGGGAGAAAAGCAATTTGTTAGAGACATTGAGACAAGCTAATGTAACACTAATACTAAAGAAAAATAAACTAGCAGAGGAATGTCCCCCTGCTATACCAACTAATATTCTTAGAGCTGATTCCAAAGTAGTATCCGTCATTCCAGCATATGGATTAGATTATTTAACCGCGTGAATCAAAGGAAAGAGACTCATTCAAGAGAAGAGTGATATTAACACATTGTTGCATGCCATACATCTCTGTCACCAAACTGGAAAAAATGGGAGAAAGATGTTTTATGATAAACTGAGAAGAGGATCTGATTTTATGAATAGCCATAATATCTGAGTCTTAACAAACAAAAAGAGCTAGAGGAAGCAATCTGATGAAGGGATAGAAAATTTTCTTCTGTCTCTAGTAAAGTGTCCTAGGGACTAATTTTACATGAAGGGAATGTATTAACTAAGCTAAATCTCATTTCTATTAGATTTTTTTTGCACCTGCCCTTTGAAGCCCTAGTAATGCACGGAATGCATGAGAAAAGAATTCATCAAAAAGGCACTCTGAGGAGAAATCTTTTCAAAAAGGAAGAACTTTTTTACTGTGATAAGTCCTTTTAGTATTTTGAAGACAAGTAAGCCTTTGAATTAGTAAAAATGATTGACATGTGAATTTATTCAAAGCTAAAGGTAAATGGTAGTCAAAAATGTCACTTTGATGCATAGGTATTTAAAACCGCAAGTTATATTTGTATTGGCTCGCTCTCTCCTGATATTTTTTGGGTAGCACCAAAATGAAGATCTCCACATGAAGAGATTCATAAAATAGGGTACAGGGCCACCCTGGACTGTGGCACAGCTTTACTCTGGGCTGCCAGTAGTTCTCACTGCCCAAGTACCATTTTCACCAAAGCAGAGCCCAGGTGCAAGAATAGCATGAATGAAACAAGAATGAAGCATCAACAAATGGGAGATGAGGATCCCAGTGCAACACATGGCAAATCAATGCATAATTTCCTTTCATCTCTAGGACCCAGCTACTCATTACCATAACGGTTCCTTTCTAGCTGCCATGCTGTCCCATATCATTCAAGATTTGAATTAGATGGTCTATCTCCCTGGAAAGAGATGGAAACTCAAAATGGTTTGGAGAAACCAAAGGCCAAAGACAGTAGCTAAAGCCTCTAAAGTGAGGATAGGGCTTCAGTCCTTAGTTGCTACATCTGTATGGCTGGATTTAGCACTTATTATCCAGTCTCTGGTACATGCCAAGGCCATATCTGAAATCAATAATGAGAGAAAATGTGCAAAAGTTACCACCCACACTGTAACTTCCACATAAAGGAAACCCCATGAGCGCTAGCTCTCCATGTGTCCTGGGTAAGTTATCATGTATCCCAACACTAAATGAGGATGCGTCAGGGATTTACAGCCCGTAACCTCTGAAATTACATCCCTAAATTCATCCTTTCAACAAGAGATACATGTAAAGAAGAATCAAAGAGATCACATGCACTTTATCTAATAGTTGAGCAGTGTCAGAATGGTATAGTAAAGTGTGGTACAGACTGAGATACTAGCTCTTCTGAGAAAAGGGCACTCAATGTCTTCCAAGAAAAATCTCCATTTTACTCAGAAAAACAGTCCTCTCATTCCCACAGAACTGTCATAAACAAGATTTTCAGAGGAAGAAGGAGGGGATTTCTGAAAAGTAAAGGCGCATCAGGAAAGGAAGTGATTGTACAGTACAGGAAGTAACTTCAGAGGTAATTTTGGACTAGGCTTATTCTAAACAACCTTTTCCCAGGAAAGCAACTGCAGCTCAAAGTGTCTGGTAACATATGAATACCAATATATGAGTCTCTCCTTTCCCCACACCAATCCTTTTTAGAGGTTGAAAATATCATGTTGGCCTTTTTTTTTATACTTTCCTACAGCCCAATAGTGTAGAGTCAATCTTAAGTCTTTCTATGCCTTTCTCACCCAAGAGATATGTAAGAATTCCACAAGTTCCAGAAAAGTAGGCCATTCATCAAAACACAGAAA